TGGACCCAAATCACTAATGTAAGACCAAATATTTATAAGAGAAAACTAGGGCTAGAAACTCGATCGAGTTTTGCCCAGATGCGAGATTAAAGTACAATTTCAGTCTATTTTCAAGGGATCCGACTTTTGACAAAAAACAGAGTTATAGAGAGAAAAAGTGACTAAGAACCTTACCTTGGAGCTTATTTGAGCTGAGTTTTCACCATTGAAGTTTGAATCTCGCCCCTTGGAGATTAGATCGACATCCCGAAACATGTTATACACATCCTCATGGGCATGACTACTCCGATTTTGGTTTTCCTCTCCCTCTCTCTTTCTCTATATGGAGTAAACCTCTTTCTAACTTGGGTATGAAAAATCCTAGCTCCATGTGTTAGGATCTTTCTCGTATGAACCTTTGGATATTATACTAGTTGATTTTATTCAATTGAGCCATGATTTTTTGAGTCAATTGGATCTTGATCACATTGTCTTGATTTCTGCTTTAACCTAGGATAGATAGAATCTGATTGGGTTAAGAGAGCTTCTATAATTGAAAGTAGTGGATCGATTGTTTGAGAGTTAATCGATTCATTAGTCTGTACTTTTTACATGAAAAAATCGGTTGGAATGGTCCAGCTCAGAGACTGACACCATTGTTGAATCCCACAGGCCACAACAACCATATTCCTCTTGTAAATCCCACCGCTTCGACAACAAGATGCTAGTCATAATCCATCTATTGAATCACTTGTTCCATCAAGTTCTCATTTATTTGTGGTTCCACTATCACCGTCATACCCGGTTGGCATCGCCATCGATATTCCCGAAAGACTATAAGGAATCTATCACTTCTCGCACCCCTACAATTTCAAATAAAGATCTTAAAATCCATGATACAAAGATGAAACAAGTAGGATAGGGGCATCGCCCTAAGCACTATCTCATAGGAGGTCCTTCGAAAGGATTCTCTCCATGGGATTATCCAAGATGTGAGCCTCGACTCACACTCTTTGTTGCTCTTTATCTAGGTAGACCTGAATACTAGTATGTGTAGACGACAAAACGTCATTCACTGTAGATCTGTCAAGATATAGTCTTGCCCGCCCTCGTTCATAGTCCTCCCCTGTCCCGTAAGTGGGTTATCTTCATGTATCATACCGGGAGCCTTAGGGGTACTAACCGAATATGTATGATGTTTTCCAGACCCATCATTGTATTAGTTCCTTCCAATGATATAATATTTCATGTATTCTTATGGTCCCAACTGCTAACCCCTAATTCACTAGAAAGATTCTTGACGTGTCACATTCTCGCAAACTACCCCGTCCTTCTTAGGTTCACGAGACTTCTCAGCCCAAACTTGCGCAGAGCCATTATCCCCATTGCCGCCCCTAAGCACCTGATGATCCTTGTTGCATCCCTAGCTGTTGATATTGTCCGCCTCCTTGCCCATAGAATCGGCAAGGACATCAAAATGGGAACCTAAGCATGCTACCAACTTTAGACCTCCTTTGAGCTTCCAGACCCACGTGTTTATTAGTTCGTCTATCATGTCTCTTAGGCACCATCTAGTCACCAAAGGATTCTGTTACATGTGGCAGATGACATGGCACCAACAAGGTGACAACATGGCGGCTACACATGTGGCATGTATGGAAGACTAGAAGCATAGAGATGCTTCTAGTATTCTCCACCTAAATGAGAGATTAATTGTGCATTTATGATTCACATAATGGGTAACATTAGTGGAATGCATTATGGGGAGACTTAATAGAGTGTAGTAATGGAGAGAGACATTATGAGGGGCATTAATGCCTTGTATGAGGAGAGGCCTATATAAGGAGCCATCTCCCTCACTTGTAACTCATTCCACATTTTTTTAGAGCAATACACACTAGAGAGTTCTCTCACTTCCTTCTTCTTGCTTTATTGTGAGTTTAAGAGAAGGATATTTAGTTCTCTAACGGATTTGAGAGCTAAGGCCGCACGACCAAGAGTAAGGCCGTGACAGGTGGTATCAGAGCTCTGTTCAGCTTGGTGCTAGCAAAGAAGAAGCAATAGTCAAATGAAAGGGAAGAGCCTCACCAAAAAATGTCGGGATCGGATAGTGGCGTTACTGATGCCGAGAAGAATCGTGGATGAGACGCCACGAAGAATCCCAAGCCAAAGGCTGACAAGTCAAGCACTCGTGATCCTATGGCGGCTCTAGAGAGGCGTGTCTCTAGAGTGAAAGTGAAGGTGGGGGAAGATATCACTGCCATCGAGGATTTGGGAGCTAACTTCGCCCAAGTCCAAGGAGTGACTGCTTGGTTGACGATTTTGGAGATCAACCATGAAGGGCTGCGAGAAGAGCTCGTGGCTCTCATCAACAACACCATCTCCGACTCCATGAACAACGCGTTTGAAGTTGTGAAAGAGCATGTCCAGGATGAGCTAGTCGGCGTGAAGGAAGAGATTGCAGACCTCAAGAGTGAGGTCACTCTCGTGAAGAGAGCCATGGATAGCGGACCAGCCCCAGTGCAATTCGTCCCACGTGCTGACGTTCCAAGACCGAAGAACTTCGGAGGTTCAAGGAACGCGAGGGAGTTAGAGAACTTCCTTTGGAGTCTTGAGCAATAATTCAAGGCATCCGGCATCAAGAGGATGAGGTAAAACTTCGTACCGCTCCACTTACTTTGTTGATATTGCTATAGTTTGATGGAGGCGACGTGAAGCGGACATCGAGAAGGGTACGCGTGTGATGGTAACGTGGGATGATTTCAAGAGGCAGTTCTATCCGGAGAACGTGGAGTTTGAAACCCGTTCAAGGTTGAGAAGACTCACCTAGAGGGGATATGTGAAGGAATTCTCAGAACTGCTTCTGAAGATCCCGGACACCACGGACAAGGAGGCCATGCACGACTTTTTGATGGGCTGCAACCATGGGCCAATACGGGGCTCTAGAGCAGAGATAAAAAAAACTATGTAGATGCAATGTCGAGTAGTGCAAGACCTTGCAACTGTCATGGCCACGGCGAAATCTTTTGTCGAGTACAAATGGCAAGAGAGCAGCAACAAGGAGAAGAGTTCAAATCCCAACAAGGGTGGAGAACCGCATCAGCCTTTCAAGGAGGGCACTCGCACTCAACAACGACATGGTGGCCCAAGCAAAGGGGGTAAGTACCAACCAAAATCCGTATCTTGATTCCTTTGCGATGGACCACATTGAGTGCGAGATTGCCCAAGGAAGGCGAGATTGGCAGCCATGGAGGCTCAAGATAAAGAGCCCAAGGCGGCGGATGCCAAGATTGGCTTAATCCTCAAGCTTGGCGTGGTGAATACCGACGTCAAGGAGAGCAAGCGTGGGAGGTGCTACGCTCTGGCCCAATTCATGTAAGGTGAGTCAAAAGCCTTGGTGGATACTGGTGCCACAGACAACTTCCTTCGCATCGAGGAGCAAGACCGACTGGGTATTGTCTACAAGAAGGGGCAAGGGTGGCTCAAGACGATTCAATTCAGAATCCATCCCGATTATGGAGTTGCTCAAAACGTAACAGTGAAGCTTGGCGAGTGGGAAGGTCTCATCGACTTATCCGTCGTCACCATGGACGATCACCCAATCATCCTCGGCATCAACTTCCTCGACAAGGAGGGAGTGCTCTTGAAGCCCAACTCCAACACGATGTGCTTGGAGAAGGGAGGAAAGTTCCATGGGGTCCATCTCTTAAGTGAAGATGGCCCCCATAGTGCTTTGTTCGCTATGCAGGTATTGAAGGGGTTCAAGAAGAATGAGCCAACATTTTTGTGTCCTTGAAGATGGAGAAAGAAGGTGGCTCGACGGGAACCACAACTCTCATAATCGAAGTTGTGCTTGAAGAATTCGATTATGTTATGTCATCGGAGTTGCCCAAGAAGCTGCCACCAAGAAGAGAGGTGGACCACAAGATTGAGTTGGAGCCAGGAGCGAAGCCCCCTTCGCGAGCACCATACCGCATGGCGCCACCACAGTTAGAAGAGTTGTGGAGGCAGCTCAAGGACTTGTTGGACGCAGGCTACATGCAGCCATCGAAGTCACCTTTTAGAGCACCGGTGTTGTTCCAAAAGAAGAAGGAAGGGTCGTTATGCATGATTCATATATATGCCCAGTGTGTTCATATGCTTCTGAAACCATTTCTCACAGCTTGTTTAATTGCAGGATTGCTCGTGGAGTGTGGCTACGTACTGTGAAAGAGAATATCTGAATAACTATGGCCAATGTACCCCCACTGATATTGCTTGGCATAACCTGTTCTTTGCTATGCAACTCTCTAAAGTGGAAATGGTAGATATCGTCTTCATTACATGGAGAATATGGAAAGCTAGATGCTGGAACCTATGATAAAGTGCAGTATTTTCCTGGACCACTCTTCCGAAAACTCACAAGAGATGTGGATGAATGGCGGGGGGGGGGGGGGGGGGCTACAGCTTCGCCCCAGATCCTACCGACACCTGCGCGACAACCTAGGCACTCGACGTCAGGTCCTTCTTGTCCTCCGGGGGTCTTCTCATCCGATTTAACGGTGCAACGACGAGGAGTGAGAGGTATCTTCGGTTTCGTTAGCTTAACCGGTGACCAATCCTTGGTTTGCGTGTTCGGTAAGTTCTATGATGCCATTTCTTATCCATTCTTACTTGAATTCATAGCTTTAAGAGATGTAATGGCGCCTAAATCATGGTCATGCTTTTGTTTGTTTTAGTGGTGATTCCCAATTGGTCATACGCGCGAGCTATGGAGAATGTTGTCTATCATGATCGGGGTGGTGCGGTGCTCGAAGAAGTGCGATTGCTCAAGACCTTTTTTGCATTTGTTTCTTTTGTGTTTGTTCCTCTTAGTACTAACAGGGTTGCCCATCGTGTGGCACAAACGGCCCTTGCATCGGAAGCAACCGAGTTGGTTGGTTTCGATTTGATTGAACTGGATCATCGAAAAAATGGTTTAGGCTTGATGATTAAAAAAGCAACTATTGCGGCAAATTAGATGAATCAGGGAAACACACGACCTAGGATCGAAGATTTCGAGGGAAATCATGATCGGGAGAAAGTGGGTAGAGGTAGAGAGAAACCTGCTGCTCGTTGCGGGCGAGGCACTTACGGACGATTTCGCCTTCTAGGGCTCGGCGTTCCTCGAGAGTGAGCCATTCGTAGTACTGGGCAAGACGAGTCTGGCCTTTCTTGTTCACCATCAAAATGAACCGAATCCCCATTCTTTCTTTTCCTTTCTCAGCAACCAACACACGGTAGAGAGAGAGACTGAGAGCGATTGAATCAGATGAGAACTGAGGGCTCAAACAGAGAAGCTGCCCGCCTGGTCTTGGTTCAAGCTCTGGTCAAGGAAATTGGAGACCCGAGAAAGGAAGGTTGGCTCTCTTTTTTTTTTGTCACTATATCCTTGCGGGTAAGTCAGATAATGGGGCGGTTTGATTTGATTCTCGAGGTGTGTACACAAAACATACAATAGGTAAGTGTTGTAGAAGAGAATGCACTTCAAACAAGATCGCTCCACCTGTAGCATCGAGTGTCGCACCAGAAACCAACTGTTGAAGCACCATCTTAACATCAATGGTGATCTGAATGTATCGTGCAGACCATCTCCCAAAGTCGAATGAGGTATAGAGCCTCACATATGGCAAAGAGTTCCACCAAAAAGATCTGTGATATCCCCTACCACTCGTCCATATGCTTATGGGACGAGTTTTCAAACCTACTATCACAACATCACCATGCATCGGCTGCCTTGTTGTCCATCCACTGCTATACAAAAACCCCAGGAAACGGAAGATGAAACGACGAGGAGTGAGAGGTATCGTCGGTTTCGTTAGCTTAACCGGTGACCAATCCTTGATTTGCGTGTTCGGTAAGTTCTATGATGGCATTTCTGATTCATTCTTACTTGAATTAATAGCTTTAAGATATGTAATGGCGCCTAAATCATGGTCATGCTTTTGTTTGTTTTTGTGGTGATTTCCAATTGGTCATACGCGCGAGCTATGGAGAATGTTGTCTATCATGATCGGGGTGGTGCGGTGCTCGAAGAAGTGCGATTGCTCAAGACCTTTTTTGCATTTGTTTCTTTTGTGTTTGTTCCTCGTAGTACTAACAGGGTTGCCCATCGCGTGGCACAAACGGCTCTTGCATCGGTAGCAACCGAGTTGGTTGACTACTGCACTTTAGTTTCCATCGCATTGTAATACCCTATCTATTGCGCTCTAACTATGACAAAAAATAATAATTAATATCCCCAAATAATTAAAATCTCCCACTAAGGGGTGGACATTTGGTTCAGTTTTAACTCTCCGAAACGAACCGGACCGAAACCGAATTTCTCACTATTCGAATAAAAAATCGGAAAGGAAATGCTCTTAATTCGGAATACAAGGTGTGCCAACCGAACCCGAATTCCAAGGTTCGAACCAATAAACCGAAATTGCAGACCCAACTACCACATCCTATTTAAATTCCACCCAGGCCCAACAAATTAAAGAAGCCTAACTGAGGGCCAAGACCAGCAACTGAGACTTAAATTGAAGCCGCCTCCTTCAAAGTCCAAAGAAAGAAAGACCAAACAATAACAAAACCTAATCCTAATTCCATCTCTCCCTTTGTCTCCACTCACAACCACCGACCGTCTCTCACTCTCTCTCGATCACCCGGAGCTTCAAATGGTGTACCCTAGTACCCAGCTCCTTCTTCATCCCAGAAACCAAACTCTGGTGTGACATCTCGGCGGCGGTGCCACGGCGGGATCTTCAACAAAGACGACGGGTAAATTGCAAGTTTGGTCACTCGAATTGCTACAAAATTTCATGTTTGGTCACTCGAATTCGTTTATTCTATTCGTAGTCACTTAAATTAGTTGAACAGTCCAAGTTCGGTCACTCTCCGTTAACCTCCGTCAGACTCCGTTAGTGCCGTCAGTTAACTGCTGACGTGGCTAACAGAGATGTCTAGTCACCCAATTTTAACCCAAGAAAAAACAAAAATTGACCCGCCACGTCAGAAAAACATGCCACCTCATATAAACACAATCCAACCCACCCAACCTAAAAAAAACCATTAATCCACCCAGAAATCGAACCCGTGACCCATCCACACTTCTTCTTCCTCTACACCTTGCTTCCGCCGCCGCTGGGAGATTTCCCCTCGATCTCCCTGCTGCAGCCCCCGCCGCGGGATCCAATAACCCCCAAATCGTCGCCGCCAAGAGGAACAGCAGCCGCCCGCACAAATCACTGGCGCGACTCCTCGAGGTTCCCTACACGGCCTCCGATTTCATCGATTGTTTCGCGCTCTATGTCCCAGATGGTGCAGGTGGCGTCGATGCTGGAGGTGCCAATTCGCTTGGGCTCGGCCTCGTTCCAGTCAAAGGAGGTGAGAGGGCCGCAATACTCGCTGTTCTTGTTGCCGTTGAGGAGGCTCTTGAGCTCCACCCGGTCGTCGGAGATTCGCCAGACGCGGAGGAAGTCGCTGGAGGTGGCCAGGAGGTCCGGCTTCTGGCAGTCCTTGTCAGGGATGAACATGGTCTTCGTCGGAGGGAAAGGGTGCTCGCAGGCCCGGCCCAGACCCTGTGCTGGTCAGACCCACAGCACAGGGCCTCAAGTTTTAGGGGGCCCATAATCCATAAGTCCGGAGGCCCACTTGAGCTAGTGAAGCCCACATGACCACACAAAACCCCCTTGTTACAAGACAAGACAGGAGGCCCGCTTGGGCTAGGGAAGCCCACATGGCCACACAAAAACCCATTAAAGACGCAGGGAGGGAGGGGAGGAGAATCAAACCACCGACCTCATCTTAATTAAAAAAAGACTCAGCCACTAAGCTACAATTGGTTTATTGAATTTAAATATCAGTTAACTTATTTATTCTTCTCTTTTCCCAAAATTTCTCTTCCCAAAAACATCCAACGCATAAATATGAATTGTTCATACTCAATTCTTATTAAGTCATCATCCCTACTATCCTGTCTCCTACTCAACTTGTTTTCAGTTCTAATCTTTTTTATTGATTGAAAATTTGGAATTATTAATCTTTGCTTATAATTTTTAATTATGTCAACCCAAAAATTTCAAAAAGATAGTTTCTAAGTGTAGATAATATTTGATAATATATAATATTATTAATTTGTAATAATTTTTTGAAGTTATGTAATTTTTATTATTATTTAATAATTTTATTTTTATTTTGAACACATTTGCGAGAAAAATTTTTGGGGCCACATTTAAATTTTCGAACAGGGCCTCCGAATATAATGGGACGGCCCTGGGTGCTCGAAGGAGAGGTTTTGGTCGCAGCGGATCTCGCCGTTGGAATCGTCTGCTTTTCTGGGTTATATATACAATTGACCAAACTCCTCAATCTCATTAGCCTAACCCCAACAAACAACAACAGAAACCAGTCACCAAATCCTCCCCCTCCCTTCACCTTATAAATACACAGGTTGTCAGGATGTAAGCTCTCAAGAAGATCATCCGGCGAGCCAAGCGGAAGAGAAGACAGCACCACCAGCACCAGCACTAGGAACAGGGGATGACGATGGATCATCAAGAGGGGATTAGCACTTGTAAGGGTGATGATGTTCATAAAGTAGTAGAAGGGGAAGAAGAGATTAGTGTTGTTAATCATGGGATTAAGAAGAAGAACAAGGAGGTTAGTTACAAGCTGTCGTCGAGCATAACAATCTCAACGCGGTTCTGGTACTGCTCCATGAGGCTAGCTATGGCGAGCCGGTACTTCTTGTCGCGGCGGACTCTCCAGTTCATTGCGTAGATGTGCCAGGGAGCGTCATAGGTGTAGATCTCGGATTGCTCTGCTGCTCATCCGGCGGCGGGGGCTGCAGCAGGTAGATCGAGGGGAAATCCCCCCCACGGCGGCGGAAGCAGGGTATAGAGGAAGAAGAAGAAGGGTGGATGGGTCATGGGTTTGATTTCTGGGTGGGTTTATGGTTTTTTTAGGTTGGGTGGTTTTGGTTGTGTTTATATGAGGTGGCATATTTTTCTGACGTGGCGGGTCAATTTTTGTTTTTTCTTGGATTAAAATTGGGTGACTAGGCATCTCTGTTAGCCACGTCAGCAGTTAACTGACGGTACTAACGGAGTTTGACGGAGGTTAACGGAGAGTGACCGAACTTGGACTGTTCAACTAATTTAAGTGACTACGAATGGAATAAACGAATTCGAGTGACCAAACGTGAAATTTTGTAGCAATTCGAGTGACAAAACTTGCAATTCAGCCATAAATAAAACTTCCATTCATTCAAACCCCATCAAACAGGGCAGAGATTACAGGATATCTGTACAACATTAACAACATACAACTAGGGGTGAAAATCGGTAAGGTATCGGTATTCTAATACCAAATACAGAAATCCCGATTACCGAATTACACCCTAAAATCAATCCTAATTCCAATACCAATCTCTAAATAATTTTGGTATTCCAATCTCAATCCCTAAATAATTTCGGTATCCCAATCGATACCTCGGTATCCCAATCAGTATTATCGAATACATAATTAATTATCTTTGCAATTAATAATTAAATATATAAATTAGATTTTATTGTTTAATTTAGGGCAAAGAGTCTTGAGTTGCCTAGAGCTAACATCTCAAGTTCTTGTAATTGATAATCTTTAATTTGACGAATTTGAGGTTGAGAGACGACTAATACTAGTGTGAAATAGTGATGTAATGATTTATGTATAATTAAATGACACTTTTGGAGGTTGAGGGTCGCGTAGTAGTGAATGAGAGAGTCTAGTTAAGATGATAAAATACACACTAACTTATATTTCGGTATTGATCGGTATTTCGGTATATACCGATCCCAATCCCGCAATCCCTAATACCGAATAACAATTGAAATTCAATCCCAATCCCAATCCTACGAAATAATACGTGTATTCGGTAATACCAAATATAAACAAATTCGGTACGGTATTCGGTATATCCCAAATACCGGCACCAAACTTCCAGCCCTACAGACAACCACTCAGTGTGAAGAGAATCTTTTCTACAGTTACGTTGCACCCATTCCGCACACTTGTTGTTTGCAAGACGCGTGAATAGAGATGACAATTTCGACCTTAGCCGTTTTACCCTACCTGTTTGACCTGTTTTGGGGCAGGCATGAGTATTCTCATAGATCCGATCTGCCCTGACCTACCCCATTCTCGACCCGTTCTTGCCTAAATTACATGTAATTTTAGGCAAATTACCTAATATTTTCCTTTTATTACATCATATTTTAGCTATTATAAAGTTGTAAATTAGTGAAAACCTCAATTTCTCAAATAATTTAACTACATTTTACCATATTATGATTTGTTTCTTGGTTTTATAATGAAAATAACTAATATTTCTAATGCTTTTCATATAAATTACTTACTCATTGGGTCGACCTGCCCCGACCCACGACCCGTCATAAATTACCCGACCCGCCACGGGGCTGGTATGGATATCGAGATACCCGCCCCGGACCTGCCCATTGTCATTCCTACCCGTGAAGGAGACACGAATCCAATCACTAGCCTGAAGAATAGCACGTATAGAGCCAATAAGAGCATAACAACTCCACTACCAAGAGTAGGGGTCTTCTTTAAGAGCATCCACCAGTGTCTTACTGATATACCCAATGTAAAAATATTTTTACAACACCAGCTCATCATATGCTCAAACAGTGCATTAGTGCACCTAGGCCGATAATCGTGCACAACCCATGATATCTCCAGTGAAATATTGGGTCAGGCACGTCCATCTCCAATCGGTACACAATTGTGTCATGGCCAGCCAACACTAAATCATTCAGTGGCTCATGAGTCGTGATTGCCTCCAGTTGAGGGTTCCTCCCTCCGAGCCCGGCTCTCCCCGATGCATTATTGCGCCCGAACCTAGCGCCTGTGCCCGTTATCGCTCCCGGGGCCTGGGACCCGGGCTTCGTCTCATTCCCGGCGCCCGGGCCCTCTATTTCCCCAGCTCCCGACAGCGGGCCCTCACCTCTTGTACGGTTCTTGGCACCCGAGTCCGTTACCGCTCCCAGGGTCCGGCTCCTTCCCGGTGCCTGGGCCCACAATTGCCCCGGTTCCCGGCGGCGGTCCCTGATCTCTTGTCCGGATTCTGGCTCCCGGGCCTACAATTGCTCTGGCTCGCGGCGGCGGACCCTCACCTCTTGTCCGGATCCTAGCACCGAGCCCGCTATTGCTCCGGCTCTTGGCGATGGGCCTTCACCTTTCGTCTGTTTCTCGGCGCCCAGGCCCGTTATCGCTTCCGGACCCGGCTTACTAGTGTCGCCCTCCTCCCGACTCTGGGGCCCACTATTGTTCCGGCTCCCGGTGGCGAGCCTTCACCTCTCGTCCTAGTCCCATGCATCCGGGTCTGCTATTGCCTCGGCTTCCGGGCTTCGCCCTCCTCCCTGCACCCAGACTACAATTTCCCCGGCTCCCGGCGGCGGGCCATCACCTCTTTTTCGGTTCCCAGCGTCCGGTCCCGTTATCGCTCCCTGACCACGACTCTAGGGTTTCGCACTCTTTCCGTCACTTGGGCTTTGCCATCCTTCCGTCACCCAGGCCCACAATTGCCCCGGCTCCCGACGGCGGACCTTTACCTCTAGTCCAGATCCCGGCGCCCGTGCCTGTTATCGATCCCTGTCCCCTGCGCCCAGGCCCGCTATTGCCCCGGTTACCGGCATCGGGCCTTCACTTCTTGTCCTACTCCCAGCGCCCGGGCCCGATATTTCTCCCAGTGCCCGACTCCCGGACTCCGCCCTCCTCCAGGCGCCCGGGCCCGCTATTGTTCCGGCGTGGGTCTTCTCCTCTTGGCTGGTTCCCGAACCCGTTGTCGCCCCCCACTCCCGGCACCTGGATCCATATCTATTCTCCCCACCTGGATTCATTGCATGCACTCCTACATGCACATGTGTCATTCCCTCTCCTCAATTAGTCTGAATGTGGTAAGAGTGTTCCCCTTAGGCAAAAACATGGTTGACATGTGTACAACCACGTGGCGGGCGCTGATGGGCCTAGACGACACATGTTCAGTGACGTGTCCTTCTTTCATCTCCGGCGCTGACACTTGTCCCCCCTTTGTCCCTCCAAGTAGAGGCACAAAGGTTTCCTCCTCCAGATCAAGGTTTTTTCCCTCGAATTACATAACTAGCACCTCGAGGTGGGAGAACATCTATGTCGGAAGAGATTGAGACTGGTGGCCAATGCATTCCCGATGCATCTCCACATGAAGAAAGAAATCTTTAGGGGAAGCATAAGTGACCAAAGCCACTTCCAATTTCTGCAGCAGGCACATTGAGATCAAGAGGTTGAGGGAAATGGAGGTTGCTAAGGTGCTTGCGTAAGCCATGGTATGCGGCCCTAACAGAGAACTCCCCCGATGGCGTAAATCTCCAACCCCATTTATCATTTGTTTCACTTGGGCTGGTATAAACCTGTGAGATAGCTTCAACTTCAGCCTCAGACCAGTGTCTCCTGATAAGATCAATTCCAGCCTCGCCTGTCCTCATTCATCCAATCTTTGACACGTGAGGAAGGATCCAGTCTAGAGGAGATCCTATAGCCTTAATCATGCAGAGGATGCACCCAAAAATCACTATGGAACCAAGTATTAACCCATGAGCCAATCACTTGAATAATACCGATATCAAGAGCCTTCCAAGCGTCACACAAGCTTGCTTAAATGTAATATGGGGTGCTTCCTTTTCGAGCCGAAGAGAAATCTCCATTTGGGAAGTAGAGCCTACGAAGCATTCTTGCCCAAAGAGTCTCATGTTCCGTGATTAACCTCCACCCCTGCTTAGTCAACAAAGAAAGATTGAATAAGTGAAAATTCTGGAAACCTATGCCCCCTCAAGTTTTGAGTCATTAAGCACTTCCCCTTTCTGCCATGGAATGGATTACTTTGTCATCGAACAAGACCAGAAGAATCTATGGAGGAGAGAATCCATTCTCCTACTGAGAGAACAAGGGAGAAGGAAGACGCTCATAATATATGTTGGAATAGCTTGGATCACCACCTTCAACAGAGTCTCTTTTCCTCCATGAGATAAAATTAGGCTCTTCCATGATTCTTATTTCTTTTCCATCCTTCCGATAAAAAAATTAAAAGTGTCCTTCCTCGATCGTCCCCATTCAATTGGAACTCCCAAATACTTGTCATGACAAATGTGGGAAGGGAAAACAAAGAAAGTAGAAATCTGGTGTCAAATATCATCCGGAGTGTTCTTGTTGAAAAACATATATGAGTTTTCCATGTTAACCTCTTTCCATGTTGATATGATCCCAAATTGCTTGCAATCCGAGTCTCCATTCATGTGTAAAGAATCAAGTTCAATTGAAGAGAAGCAAACTGAAAATTGTCTAACTGTTTTGACTGTTTTAGGGAGCCGACTTTGCAAGCTTGGTCGTCACAATTGGCGCAATGAAAATGGGAGTTTAAGGGCTTGTTTTGAAGTTGGCATGTTCTTCTACAAGCTGGAGTTTTGAAAGCTCGAGGGGAAGTCAGGAAGTGAATTTTCAAGGCTGGTCAAAACTCATTGTCAACACAGGAAAACCGTCATAAAATGGCTAAGTGTAAAACCGAGTTCATGAAGCTTACTTTTTGAGCTCAATTCGAGAAGGAT